TTGGGCCTTGGGAAAGTTTGACTGCTTGCCCACAAACTCATATACTCATATTGCTAGAAGATAAAACAAAAAACTAATAGGAAGGAATGTCTTTTTTTTTTTGTTAATAATAATAATAATAACAATAATAAAATCCATAACTTACACATAATTCTTTTTTTTTTTTTTTTTTTAATCAAGAGATGCATTAGTGTTCGAATTAGAAGAATCATACCAGTTAGGTTTTTGAGTGCTAACAAGGAAAGAATGAAGGAGAGAGGAGATGGGAAAAAACATAAATGAAAAAAAAAAAAAAAGATGTGTTAACTTTTTTATGTGCCAAGTAGGCGCGCAAGTCGCATCCACTCGTGAGTCATAGTGGTGTCTTTTTTTTGTTTTTTGTTTTTGTTTTTTTTTTTTTGTTTTTTGTTTTTTGTTTTTTTTTTTGTTTTTGTTTTTTTTGTTTTAAATAAATTAACAAAGGCTGATCAAATACTTGTTTGGTTCACAGAATGAATTTTGAGGTAATATAAATGCTATTCCATAAGGAATGGAATAGGCAAGGAATAGAATATGAATTCTATTTATATTGTTTTGTTTGCGGAAGAAATAGACTTTAGGAATTATATTACAGTGTTTGGTTGATTTAAGGAATAGAATGAAATATGTTTCAAAAGACATAAATACCCTTATAAAAATATGTGTTGGTGTTGGTGTTGGTGGTGGTAGTGGTGGTGGCGGCGGCGGCAGTAGTGGTGGTGGTGGTTGCGATGGCGACGGTGGTGGCGGTGGTAGCAGTGGCGGCGGTGGTTGTGGTGGCGATGGTGGTAGTGGAGGTGGTGGTGGCGGTGGTGGTAGCAGTGCCGGCGGTGGCGATGGTGGTGGTGGTGGCGGTGGAGACGGCGGCAGTGGTGACGGTGGTAGGGTATTTTCGGTATTATAATACTAAAGCTATTCCCAAATACGTGGGAATAGTTAATACCAGGGGGTCCCCTAGGAATGGCTATTCCCCCTGCAAAGGGAATAGCTCATTCCCGGGAACGTTATTACCTTGATGGCCCGTTTGGTTCACGGAATAGGCCGGAAATGGCATAACATTCCCAGTAATAGACATATTCATTTGTTTGGTAACCATTTCTATTAACAGGAATAATATTCCTGGTAATAGCCTATTACCTCAAATAAGGTAATAGCTATTACTAGGGCCCCCCTGGTATTAGTCTATTACTGAACGCTCAGGAATAGATTTTAGAATCTATTTTATTTTACCCCTTTCTTTAACCTAATTTTTTTTATCCTATATATAAATTTATCCTATTTCACCACCGTCGTCGCCACCACCAACATCACCGCCGCCGCCGCCACCACTACCATCGCCGCCACCGCCACCATCACCACCATCGCCGCCCCCACCACCACCGTCGCCCCCACCACTGCCACCGCCACCACCACCACCGCCACCACCACCACCATCACCACCACCGCCACCACCATCGCCGCCGCTGCCGCCACCACCACCACCGCTACCAGAACCACCACCCAGCAGCACCACCGTCACCACCACCACCACCTCCACAACCGTCGCCGCCCCCACCACCACTGCCACAACCGTCACCGTCACCACCACCACCGTCGCCCCCACCACTGCCACCGCCACCACCACCACCACCACTACCACCCCAGCACCACCACCATCGCCACCACCACCACCACCACCGCCACTACCACCACCACCATCGCCACCATCACATATTTTTATAAGGGTATTTATGTATTTTAAAACATATTTCATTTCTATTCCTTAAATCAACCCAACAGTGTAATATAATTCCTAAAGTCTATTTCTTCCGCGAACCAAACAATAGAATACAATTCCTATTCTATTCCTTGCTTATTCCATTCATTATGGAATAGCATTCCTATTACCTCAAAATTCATTCCGTGAACCAAACGTGCTGTGAATAAAATGACAAAACAAACAATAGAATAGATCTATTCCCGGGAACGGTATTTCATTCCCGACCTATTCCATGAACCAAACACGCCATAAATTAAACTTAATGCCTCACATCTCTACCTCTTCTCACCTATCTCTTCCACCTAAGCAAACACAAGAAAAAATCTAACCAAAAAACTCTTAATGAGGTTGCTCTTAAAGTCTTAGTACAATAAAAGGGAAAAATTAGAGATTAACACTAAGATAATCATTTCCATTCCACCTTATTATTAAACATGCAAAATACTTTCATTAAAACTCATTACCGTTAGTATTTGATACCCATTCCAATTTTAATTCTCATGTGCGAACTAAATTAAACGTATCGTAAAGAATAATAACAACAACTTTACCCTTATGATAACTTCAATGATAAATCAAAAGTTTTTACAATGTTTTACATATGTATACACACTAATGGTTGTAACAGACCAAGCCCATCTTAAATTGATAAAATGGATGAATATATGTGAAAGACAAAGAATTGGACAACTAGATGTTAGATAATAAATATTTTTTTGGTCTCGAGCAGTTATTGTTTTCACGGTTGAATTACAAATTAACAAAATGTAGTGATGACAATACAACAAGAAGTAATTTAAACTTCTAATAAATTTAGTTCATGAAATAAGTCAAGAATAGAGTAACATTTTTAAAAATGTTTAATTGGGATAGTATTTATGAGAATAAGTTACTCCTTCAAAATGTTAAAAATAAAAACTCAGGCTTTGATAAATATTGACAAATTAATAAATTGTAGCCTCAAACAAATTTTGTGAATGGACTACAATACATGTGTGCAGTATGTTTGTGTCATGAACTATTGTATTGAGAACAATCAGATTAACTTACCATATGAATTAGAATGATAGAATTTGATCCCCAATTATTCTTAAAGCACCTCTGAGAATATATTGTAGTCATATATGAATCCCAATTGACTCTTTTCTTGTATGAACAACTTTCCAAGAGCACAAGGAAACATAGATGAAAACTTGGCAATCTAACTTCAACAGAATTTTCGAGCACCTTACCATTTGAATTTGAGAATGGTTTCTTCTAAAAAGATGTAGCCACGTGAGTTATCTTTTCAATGATATCTTAATCAACTCAATCAGATCTATATAGAGAGAGAGATATCTAAAATATCACACACGGGTCAAACCTGCAGAAAAGAAACATTTTAATTTTCAAATTTTTTTTTTTTTTTTTTCCTTTTCAAGAAGATCATAATAAGAGACATAGCTTCAAGATTTTTTCCTTCATGAGTGAATAGGAAACCTTCATGATCTTCTTGGATTTAAGTCTTCAATCTTCTTTGTTTTCCATACTTGTTAATCTCCTTGATTTGAAAATGTTCAATACGTTCCAAGATTAGAAAACTAACAAAATAACACACCAGCGATCTTTAATAATCTAAGTTAGTTTTGACTAAAAATACGTTAATACAACTAGGCATAAAAGAACCGTTTCGTTTTTCAAAAAATAACTCTACGTTGCCCCTACCGAATATCGTAAAATCTTGTGTGTTTGTTTTTTATTCTTACCTCATCATTTTTCTTGTCCTATTTTCACAACACTTTTGATTTTCTTGAGATTCCCTACTATTATATTGATATTGTTTAATTAGTACGTGCAATGGCCAATGGCATTTGTAGTACGTGAAGGGAAATACAAATAAATCATTATTAGATAAGATACATGCATGTACCATGATTATTAGTTATTGTTAATTTAAGTTATTTAATTGCATGTCGCTTTCTTCTGTCTGGAGCTAGCGTACGTGTAATACGCTCAGTATATATCCTAATTTTTTGAATAATTTTAAGGATATATCTTGATTTTCTTTTAGGTTTTGTGCATATGTGTAATTTTTTTTTTTTAAGTGATAAGTAAAACTCGTCATTATCTAAAAATATGTACAGAATAAATTATGTACAAATTTTAGAAAAAAAAAATATTAGTACCAACTATTCAGTTAATCATAGTTAATCAGTTATGTTTTTTTTTTTTTTTTTTTTTTTTTTTTTTTTTTTTACTTCAAAATATATGCTAAATAAAAACGTTTTTCTATAAATAAAAACTAATGTATATACCTTCACCAGTTCACCCATTTATATCATTGATGGTCTTATAAACTGATAGCATCATGTATAAAATAGAATAAATTATACAAAAGCGATAGAAATATATTATACAAAGTGTTTTAATTTCTAGGGTCAATAGTGATCCACTGATCCATCAATCTTCTTCATATCAATTTAGTTGAAATGGTCTCACTATATACTTTACATAATTGCTACGAGTTTTCTTACTTTTTATTGAATTTTTTTTTTTTTTAAAAAATCAAAATCATATTGGTGCATTTTTGCTGTCAATTATGCCGTTAATCAAGTTTCTTTTCAACTAACTTGTGACTTTTGTTCAAAGTTTTTTGACACTCCTAACATTTATACAAAAATATATTCTTAATTTTGCAATGATTTTTCAACAGACAAAGAAAACCTGCGTTTGCTAAAGTCAAATGAATCCCAATAATACAACGTAACAACTAACAACTCATCATAATTATGAAATTTGATTGAATGCCAACATTACATTGGTCTTTGCTTTATGTCTATGTAATACAGAAATCTGATCTGATTGGAAAACTGTGCTTATAATTAATGTTATATATTTACATTATTGTGAACCATGAATGAATAGTCACACATATGGTGTCATGATTATTTGCATTTTGCATAATCTCACTGGCGGTTTACCAAAACCCTAATAACATGTGTTAGCATGTCATTAACTGGTGTTTTGGACTTCATTGCATCAAAATAAATTGTTGATGTGTGTAATATAATTATACCTTTAAAAAATTTAAAGGGCTAATTAACTTTTCAGCTAAAGTTAAAGCCTGGAGGATCTATTTGATCCTAGCTTTCTCCTTAGGTATTTTAAAATTGAACAATACAATATTTTTTAATAATTTAAAGCCGTAAAGGTAATGAGAATATGAGATACACAAAACATGATATAGAAAAGTTGTGACGTATAGAAGTGTATTAAGAAATAGTTAAATTCCAAAACTCTCTTTTTCTCTCTCTCATAATTCACCTGGAAAATAGAATCCCATTCTCAGCAGAGTTTCATAATTTTTACATACAAGCTAGATTGATGAATGGACAAAACATCATAGTAGCTGAGAGTATACTCTGGTCAGGGAATTCGGAGAGGAAACATTAGAGTACTAAATATTAATATAATTAATTAATGTATGATAATCCACTTAATTGTCGTCAAGATGCAACGGCTAAATGGCGGATCTCTGCTTCGCTTACTGGCAAGAATCCTACCCGCTTCTGCAAATCACAACCAACCAATATTCATCTTTAGCAACTAAACAACAACAACAATAATAATAATAATAAATTTGTCATAAGATATAGTTCAACTGGTTGATCAATCCAAAATATGTTAATAGTTTAATTTTGCTAACAACCGCAAAGTGTAAAAAGGGAGGTATACAATTGGCCTTGTTATGAGCGTTAGTGTATAAGCATTTGGCCAGTTGAATCACATTTAGCGATTAACCTCTTCCACAAGTCTTCAGAACAGGAGGGGTGAGACCCTAGAAATAAATTTCTACCAAGGAAGTTTTAACGCTATAACAGGGCGTTTGGTTGGAGGGATTTTATATTCCCTTCCCACTTAATTCCCACCTAATTCCAAAGACCATTAAATTCCGTAATTTGGTTGGAGGGAATTGCAATTCCATGGAATTGTAATTCCCCCATTTTCATGGAATTAAAATCTTAGGTCCCCCCCTGATATTTTAATTCCTGGGAAAAAAAGATACTGATGAGTCAAAATTATCCCTTCCTTTTTTAACCTAAAATTAATGTCTAACAACAATAATGGACATTTTTGACTTTATACTACTTATTCCCTTTCAATTCCCATGTATACTAAACATTGGAATATTCCTGTCAACCAAACAGTGGAATTTAAATTCCCACTTTATTCCCAATAATTTAACTCCCATGGAATTACAATTCCTTTCCCACATAATTCCCTCCCTCCAAACAAACGCCCTGTAATTTTCTATTAGTAATATTACTTCCGTCCCATTTTATGCAGTATAGCATTTGGTAATTTGTTATCCATTCAACTTAACTTTAAATACCCATATATTTAATATAGTAAAACGAAAGTACCATACATAAGACCATATAAAAAGTGCTATTTAATTTGTTTAAAAAATTAAAAACTTTCAAATATTTTTAAAATATGTGTAATAAAAATTTATTCAAAGTTAAATTAAGTTGACCTATGACTACTAGCTAGGAATTATATATGAAAGTGAAAATGCATGTGAAAGGAGGGGTAATAATAGTGACGATTTCAAAGATTGTGAATATTCGTCGTCAAAGGCTAACAACCCTATTGTAAATCACGTGAAGGACAGGGGAGAGGTCTTCAATTATTGCTTACTCAAATGAGGCCATGACAAGTGGGTCATTCAAATTGAACACAACCTTCCAACTCGTGACAACATCTTTCACAAATTCGTCAATAAAAACAAAACCTTAATTTTCTGTCTATGAATACAAACAAATCCAACCTTCCTCCAATCAATAATCAAATGACTTTTCAAAAATTTTGTTTAATTAGACCGAGACGATGTTGACAAGAATCAAACTAATAACTTTTTGATATGAGAATCATGTCTCATTTACTAGGTCAAACGGCTATTTTTGCTCTTACATTTACTCAATAATAATTAGTTTTTTTTTTATTCATAAATATGTAAAATAAAAAATGTGTAAGACAGAACGCGTTATTCAATTTTTATGAAAAAACAATTAAATGTATGCTTTTGAACCTTTCACTATCGACCTACACTTTAGGCAATTTTAACAAAGAAATGTAACAAGACTAATTCATTAAATCGAAATCAGAAGAATTATTCACATGCATATGGCACTAAAAATTGACCTAGTTTATATCATATTAGAGTCCCAAATCTCCAAAAAAAAAAAAAAAATGTAAGATTCCATTATCAGTCCAAAATAAAATTTATAGTACACTTAATAAATAATTGTTTGATAAGGAAGATGAATAGTTGGTAATTACAAACCAATTAAATAACCAATCCAACCTAATTCCATTTTAGTAAACCAAATGATTCCAACCAAGTTTATATTATTATCACCCAATATAGAACGATCAGTATAATGTGATGACCCTATAATATATAATATATGAGTGTATGTATCCATTAGGGAATCTTTAACATATTATATATGTTAGCAGTGTAGTTGAGATAGTGACTTAACTAATCATAAGCCACTCAAACAAGAGGGGACCTTAAGTTTGGTTTAATTTGGTGACTCCATGGACTTTATATATCCACAGTGCCGGCCGGTTGTTTACCAATTCCCATATTATTTTTATTTTGTATATGCTATCTTTATTGCCTTATTGGTAAACCCAATTTTTATTTATTTATTTTAATTTTTTATTTCTGGGGAAGTTGAAGAGAAATTATATATTTATATGTATGTATATTTTTTCCAGTTTAAAACAGTGTTTTTGGTGGTCGTTAGGTGTGCATTTATTCATGCATGTGATAAGGCATTGACCTTTATAATTAAAGATTGGTTCTTTCAATACATGTGGGTAAATGTGTTTGAAATTAATAAATTAATAAAATAATTTCATATTGGGTATCATGCATGTACATGAAAATAATAATGAAGGTATAATTAAGAATTATATAATTGTCAAGGAAAAATAAATGAAAAATTTAAAGTTCACTATGAAGAAAACAATTCTTAATTAGCAAGATGTCTTATTACTGGTTCTGTTAAACTGTCTCATATGAAACATACCTTATTTTTTAAATGAAAATATAATAATTTTTAGAGAAAATGACATTTTTAGTCCATTAATTATGAAAAAATTCTTAATTTAGTCCTTCATTTATTTGAAGTGTAGATATAATCATTCAGTTATGTCAAAGTGGTTAATATGATCCTTCATGAAATTAAACTATTTCTGCCACCAATATATTTCTTAATAAAGTGGTTGATTTGATCTCTTAATGATAAAATATACCACTTAATAATAACTGCAAGACTAAATCTGCATCATAAATAATTGAATGACTAAATGTATACTTTGCTTATAACTAAGGGACTAAAAATATCATTTAAAAAAAATTATGTGTCAATACTTATTACATTCCTATTTGAGAACCATCTCATACCGAGATGCATGGTATCATTCAAGTTCTTGGAATGAATATTTAAGGTCAAATGGTTATTAAATATGATTGGTATAAATTGTACGGTACACAGGAATAGAAAGGTAAATTGGCAAGTTGATGTTTGACTATAGTTTTAAAATGGGTTTGTTATTTTAGCATGCAACAAAATTTGACAAATCGAAGACACGGTCTGACAATTGATGATAAGATTTATTCAAGGAATTGCAGTGTGACGAAACATAACTGTTTTCCGGCCAGAAGATGAAATGTCACAAATTTTCGTCAAAAACATTAAAACACGGCCGAATATTAATTAAGATGATGAGTATGGTCTACGTTGGAACATTCTTCAAAAAAATCGCAAAGTCAATTACGCCTTATGGTGAATTGACTTTTGGGTTATGGTTTAAGCCGCAGGAATCTCATTATGAACATTTTCACACTATATGAATATATCATAAGCTTTAATTAATCAAAGAAATTTTGTATGTTTTTTAAAAATTTATATATTTTCCTAATTTAAAAATAAAAAAAAAATTGAGAAGTAAGAGATTGAAGTAAATACTACGCACAACCTTAATGTTATTTTTCATAATTCTAAATTAAGTTTTAATCTAGGTCCATAAACTAACAATTGTTATACCATGAATCAAGATCCACATTGCATTATAAATTCTGATCCAAAAATTATGTGTCTATAGTTAATTGCATATTATGTGTCTTTAATTACATAATCTATTAACTGTAAATACACATAATATGATAATTGCAGACATAAAATCTGGAATGTTATTTTATAAGGTCCACAATGCAAGGTGGATCCTGGTTTATGGTATAATTTGTTGGTTGGAAAGGGGTTGTTTAAGATGGATAGAATGATAACGGTAAAATTGGAACAATTTGATTGTTCCAACTTAATCGTTTTTGGGTTAAAACTTATAAGATTGGAACGGTAGCAAGTACCGTTCCAACTGCTACAATTACTTTTTTAAAAGTACGGTTTGGACCAAATTTAATTTATATCGATATTTTTAAGGAAAAAGAAAATCTAACCTCGCGTGATTTGGAACTTTTCTTGATTATCCCTTGATCGCAGCGAGGTTGAGGATGAATCTGATCTGTTTTGGTAGCAAAGCCGCCGCCGCCGCCTGCGGCGGCGGCGGCGTTTCCATTATTAGCAATGCAAAGTTGCATTAGCTTCTCGGCGGCCTCACCCTCGTCCTTACTCTGCATCATCAGCTTCTCCACCTCCGCCTTGGGCAGCCGCAACTTCACCCGCACGCCGCCGCCGTTCTCCGCCGCAGGCGGCGGCGGCGTCCTGTCGAGGGGAATGCTAGCCGGCTTCATCAGCGACAGGTCGGACGCGGAGCGGCGCGCCAGCATTAGGCTCTCGAGGCGGTCCTTGGCGCTCATCTGAATCGAGCCGGAGCGGACCCGACGCACCGGCGCCGCCCTCTCCTCCGCCACCTTCGGCAGCTCCACCAGGAAATACAGCCGCTTGCTCCGCAGCTCCTGCTGCGCCTCCAGCGCCTTCGCCCGGACCCCGAAATGCTTCACCGCCTCGGAATCGAGCAAAACGTGGCCCGGATAATTCTTCACGATCTCGCCGGCGTACACCGGCGTCTTGAACTTCATCGTTTGCCCGTCGATTTTCATCACCTTTGTTGTTTTCTTGCCACCCAAACTATTCCCCATTCTTTTTCCCAATCTATATTCTCAAAACCCCCTTCTTGTAACACTATATATATACAACCTAGCTAAAATATGTTTTTTTTTTTAAAAAAAGTTTTTAATTTCTGAATGAGGTTGAGGGTTTAGGCTACCACTTTCCTGGAATCGGGTGGGTTGAGATCTTGGCACGAGAGGCAAAAGGGAATGGTGGGTATAAGATAAGAGTAGTTGAATATTTATAGTAGTAGTTGATTGTTCATGGGTATATGTTATGTTATAATTATGTGGGTCAAAGTAAGAGAGTTTTGAAATATGGTGACTCATTCCGAGATGTGATTAATTCACATGATTTCTACGGATTTTATATATCTTTTAATTTTAGTTTTATTTTTATGTCTCTTTCATTTGTCTACAATAGATTTTGCTGTTTATTTGCATGCCAACAACCATGTTATCAAATGGTACTACGTACAATTCTGCTTTTTAGTTTGGACCCGTTATTCAAATTATACTCGCTAACCCATATGACTTAACCCTAGTTTTGACTAATTAAGGTTCTCGTCGTTGTCGAGATGGTCAAAAAATGTATACAACGGTTAAAAATCTACACGCGGGACTTACAATAATACTGGTTTCAACAACAGAAATTTTACCTCAAAGACAACAGTTTTTAACCATTGTCTATGTGCATTTTTCTTGTAGTGATAGTTCAATAAAAAATGAATCTTAAAGTTTCTTAATTTATCCCATTCTTCCTCTCTATTGTTAATGATGTATAATCAATATAACTAGAGAATAGTGAGAGGGTCTTATGTCATGTTTATACCATTCAACCATCATGTACAATTTGTAACAAAAACCGTTACTAATCAAAACATAATAGTCATTAGATTTCATCAATAATGTGATGTTTATAATTGCGATAACGGTTACACTAATTATTGTAATGATGATTTGTTTCGATTCATCAGGACAACCTCAATAGAGCATTCGATTTTTTGTTGTGTGAAGGGCTGGGTTCCTTTGCAAACTAAGAACTCAAAATTTTCAAAGAAAAGAAACACATGTTCTTCACAAGGTCGTTAGGCAATTAGAGTAGTTGTTAGCTCGACGATCACCCCAATTATTATTATTATTTTAATTTCTATTTTTTTTACATTGAGTCCCAAAAAAAAAAAAACTTGTTAAAATATTTAACTATTGAGCATGCGTTTATAATCATTTCAAACAATTAACATCTTCTAATGTAATTTTATTTATTTGCTTATTTATTAACAATATTGGTGACTTGGCAAAAAGAATTATATAACGTAACAAGGGAATTGGTTATTTTCACCAGGCAGGTATATGCTTATGAAATTTCATAGCAAAAATAATTTCACAATGTATACTACATTCTACTCTATTTATAATCACATTAGAAATGGTTAAATAATCACATTTTCAATTGTATTTCAAAAAGTATATTCAAAATTAAATACATTAGAAGGACACAGTTATATGCTACGTGGCAGAGCTGTGGGAGTTTAATTAAATGGTAATTAAGTGACAAAACATAGGTTGGTAACATGCATTAGTTTGAAACCTTAGTTTAAACAAGAAACCTCAAACTAGTTTCGAGTGTGGACATTCTTATCTTAATTTTGTACGTTTTTGAAAGAGGTTCAAGGCTCCAAAACATGTGGGGACATTTGCCTTGATTTTTTTAGGCTGGAGAAAACATTTTCTTCGTTTTGTAGCCCTATAGATTCTAGTGGCAGGTTTTGTATCTTCTGGACTTCAGTAGATGATTTGTTAAGTTGATTTAGTAAATAATACAATTGAGCTTAAGATCAAGATGAGCAGTTATGACCTTTTCTTAGATCAAATTTACATGGTCCAAGCTCTTCTTTTCTTTTCTTGATCTTTTTCTTTTTCTTTTTAATATATCTGAGTCGAAACACTCAACATAATAAGTTATAAAATGATATAATATCAACACAGTAAGAAAATTTGGGTTAGTACTTGAAGTTAATGGGTTCTTCCACCTATTGAATTAGTAATTTATAGTTAGTGGACTTTTTTTGGAGGTTAATACCTATAATTGGTGCTCTCGTTGAATACTACTCTTAGAGTAAGGCGAGAACCGTCTTTAGTGATGCCCCCTTCTAAAGGGGTGGCCTATTGGACAATTTTTTTGGGATATGTATGTTATTCTCTTAATTATGAGTACCTATAGGTTGATGTAAATTGTATTCGTAATCCCAACATAAATCAACTTTATTAAACTGGCCAGGATTGAATGCGTGTAAGCAAATAAATCACTCGTGGTAACTTAGGAGTGGAGTTCCATTACAAAATTATATTGGAGTATCGAGCATAGTTTCAATACTCAGAGAACCCAACATCAATTAACTGGATTAAATTATTATTGTTTTTAAAAAAAAAAAGGCAAAAGTAACGAAAAGGAATGAAGCTCGATCTTAATCACTCGAGGTGACTTAAAAGCATATTTTCATTATAGAATCATAGTGTTGAACCCCTTTACAATACACAAAACTAATATTTTTAGACAATCTATGGAATCTAGACATTATATTAAGGTATCTCTGATTGTATTTTAGAAACTTAGACTCTGATCGTCATTTGTTTTAATTTTTAGGTAAAGTGAATACAGAAATTACTCTATTGGAAAAGGTTTGGCCTTCGGCAGACCCTAGTAGTGTGAGAGTGTCCTGGCAAATGTAAAAGTTTGCCAAAGCTAAGGATAGTTGATTGCGTTCACTATCGGACCTTATCCAACAGACCTGGCACACCTTGTCAAGATTATCCAACAAAGAAGTAAATAGCATACAAGGAATGTTTTTAGTCCTTTTGTGATCAGAGCTATTGGGCACGCTCTAATCTCCAAGGACATCTAACAATAAGCAAACATGTGTTTTGGTCCCTACACCACTAAGATAATTCCTTATTTAAAAAGGGAAATGGTTTTTAACCAATGGTCAATAGCATGTAGCGTAAAAGGAGTAATTGACAATTTTTGGACACCTACCATTTTAGAAGGCGTATGTGATGTTTTTCAAATGTTCAAATTCCAAGGCCTTCAACTCTATTCAAATTAAAGAGCCCCTTTTGAAGCGTGAAGAAGTAATATAGATACGCACGAGATCGAGTACTAGGTACTCACAAAACTTCTAAAAAGCTTTCAGTCTCTAAGTTTTCAATGCTTCAAATAATCATCTAGGTTTTGTCTTGCCAGTTTTTAGTCACCCATGCAAATATCCATATGGATCATCTTCTACCTCTCTTAAGGCAACTTTGTGAACGACCATTGGAGGTAGCAATGAGGTAGTGAAGAACAAGCAACTTGATGAAGAAAGTCATTAAAGAACTATCTTTGGTAGATAGTAGTAACCTATACTAGTTGGCTTGGTTTGCAACTAGTGTGAAAGGCTATAGATTTCACTTGTATTGGTGATAACGCTATTTGAACCTCCTGTGTTAAGGAGAAGAGTAGAGTAGAGATTGTCGGAACCACTAAAAAAATTCCGGACTCTCTCTCTCTCTCTCACTGATCTCTCTCAAATTTTTAGGAAAACATTTTTATAAGACATCATTTTAAAGGTTTTTTAAAATCCTTGTTTTAGCTTTCTCTTTGGCTTGGGACCAACGTCAATAATATAGGGACATGTGTAAATAAACTATTGGCTTCATTGAAGGTGTAACCCAATCGATTTTTGCAAGTCCCAAAGGTAACCACTTGTGCTTCATTGGCAAAAGTCACTCTAGAACACGAAGCTCAAATTGCCTTGAGCCAGGACTTAGACATGATCGAATCTACATAACTCAATTGATTGATCTCAATCATTCCATATTAGTCACACCCATAGGAATCCTCCAAGATCAATCGAAGTGATATAAGACTACCTTAACTAAAAAAAATCTAAAATTTTCAAGACATTTCCACTCAACCTAAGAAATTCAATTCCCTATGAAAAGGTATCTTCAATCTACTTAAACTAATAAAACCATTTCTTACATTTTACCCAATGCAACACTAGTTGTTTTTTTTTTTTTTTTTTAATTTTTTTTAATTTTTTTTTTTTTTTTGGAAAAGATACAAATAGGCCATTGAATTATTTGGGGATAGTAATTAAGTCACCGAATTCGAATAAACTCCAAATTCATCTACGAATCTAGAAAAAAATAACAATTAGTATTTTTAACGGGTTAACAGCCGGTTTGTGCTGATTGAGATGTCATATGTATATTTTATTTTATATTTTATTATTATTATTATTATCATACTAAGCATTTGATTCTCTTCTCGATGCCATGTTTTTCATGACAATTGCTATTATAGTGTTTTAACATTCTCCAAAGTCGGTTGTCATACACTGATAAACATTGGCATAGAAATTCTTTAGTTCTCAAAAAAATTGTGAGCCGCTACCTATACGCTTGTGTGAGGTGGAAGGGATATCATATTCCACATCATATCAAACTTGGTAATTATCCTTTTAAGTATACCTCAATCAACTTTCCAAACATTTTTTTTTTTTTATATATTGATACGGTTGAGTTTTAATAAATATATATATAAATTCTTTGTGGACTGCACTGGTCCTCTCACTTAAGAAGTCTTGATGACCGTGATTACCTCTTTACAATCCTATCAGGTTGCACGTGAGGTCCTAGATGTGAGAAATTTCACCTATTTTTAAACATATCATCTCATTTTTATCCTTTCAAGTTTAAATTTAGAAAATGACATCAACTCATTTTTTTCAATGTAACTCAAAATATCACCGTTGGACATAGAAACTAATTTCCTCAATGACTTATAAACACTTCTAAAAGTGAAATAACTGACTTGGAAATTTAAAGATACATATTTAAGCTAGTACCCATTAATCTCATCTTATAACTCGAATAATATGTCTTGTCGAATAGGCCAGCACATGAAGGGATGTAAAGATCAATTCAAAGGAGATTGATGAATGTAAGAAGTTGACGATATTTAATCACTAATTTCAACGAAAATGACTTACCGACGTTAATCGCGGTGTGTATCCGAGAATTCGTGTAGATTCCTTCCCCGCAGCATGCCAGCATCATGTGCTTCTTTGACTTAGTAGAATGACCATATGATTTTGATTTTTGAGCTTAGTTTACACTTTTTAAATTCTCAATATATCATTACCACATATAACTTAGACCATTATAAGTATTTTCGTGCTACAAATTAAAGGGATTAAAAATGAA